CTTCATACGGCTTTCTGTACTTGGAGGTTCATGGGTAGTTACAAGTGGGGTTATAAGTCCCCTAATATGAGTTATAATTATAGTTACCCTACTTATAACCCTGCTTATAACTACCCATGAACCTCCAAGTAGGGTTTTGAAGGTTTCTACCGGCAGTGTGTTAGAACCATTGGGTCTCTGCGTTCAGACGAATGTAGGAACCTGATAAAAAAAATACCCGGTCATGGAGCCCAAACTACTAGGATCCATAATCAAGAACCCTAATAAAGACCCCCTAAACCCTAAACCCTAAAGCCCAAACTACTAGGATCCATAATCAAGAACCCTAATAAGGACCGCCTAAACCCTAAACCCTAAAGCCCAAACTACTAGGATCCATAATCAAGAACAGACCCGAGGTTTCTCGATCAGGTTCTTAGGGGCGGAGTATCCCAGCCCCAAAGAAGGTTAGGGTTTAGGGTTTAGGGTTTAGGGTTTAGGGTTTAGGGTTTAGGGCTTTTCCTTTTTCATTATAGAAGAAGTATATATTATCTAAGGTAGAACCTATGGGCCCCTAGTATGGGCCCTTAACCCTGGGACCCTAATATACCTACTATATACCCTATATATACCCTTAAGGGACCCTAGAATCCCCTAAACCCTAAACCCTAAACCTTAAATATAAGCCCTAAAAGGCTAAAGGTTACCTACTCGGCACCTCAGGGCTCCAAAACTAACGAGGATTGCGTGGCATCCCGGCGCGCGGCGGCCCGCACGGAAGGATGTGTGCGGTTCTGGTGTGGCACCGTGCACGTTGTGTCCGCGTGCGCTATAATGTCCTGTTCTTTTACACAGGATCCGCTGTGCTAATCTAGGGGCCTTAATAATTAGAATAGGGTTTGGGGGTTAATGTACTATAATTATAGTAAGGAACCCCCAAGACCCTATTCCATTGATTAAGGCCCCTGCATTACCGTCTCCTGGAGAGCTCGGCCAGTATTTGTGGGAGAACATTTTGGCCATGCTTGGGAGAGACCTGTCAGTATTTGGGGGAAGCACTCCATCCACACTCCTGGGTCCTCCTCAAACCCGTCAAAACTTGGAAGAGAACTTCGGCCGTGGTCTTGCTTTGTGGGTCCTGGTGATCTCTTGTCGTAGTCGTCCTGGTCGTGGTGGTGGTCTCCGTGGTCCTAGTGGTCATGGTCGTCGTGACGCACTGGCACTGTTTGGGGATCTACGCTGGCATCTACGCTGGCATAATGTGGAGGTTTCCGAAAATAGGGGACCCTAATATAGTACCCTAATTAGTAGGATCCTTATTATAAGGACCCCCAAATAAGGTACCCCCTATTTTCGGAAACTCCCATGTATAGGCACCTAAACTCTAAACCCTAAATTCTAAACCCGACAATGCTCACGGCTAGGATCTCTCGCAGCTTATTCAGGATTTAGGACCCAGGAGTCACAAAGGCGACCAGTCCAGTACAGGGGCCTTCTTGGAGGTTCATGGGTAGTTATAAGTGGGGTTATAAGTCCCCTAATATGGGTGATAATTATAGTTACCCTACTTATAACCCTACTTATAACTACCCATGAACCTCCAAGTTGCTAACAAGCAGAATAGACGGTGTGCAATATAGTCTCGTATAGCTGTAAGGGGACCACAACGGGATACTGTTCACCACCTGCTGGTTGCAGGACAAATACAGAGGCCAAACAACAACACATCTCAGGCAAGGATCACGGCTACTATGTTTCAGCCCCTATTTTCTGCAAGATGGCCTACCGCATGGGGATGGGTTTGGGGTTTCGGGTTTAGGGGTTTAAGGGTTTAGGGTTTAGGGCTTAGGGTTTAGGGAAAACAGACAAGTCTCGCAACAGCCAGCATGGACAACAATCTCGACACGAGCCTTCAGGCAACGCTGGAAAGACAACACGCACGTCCTGTGCACTCGTGATGTAGACAAACGTGGGAAACACATGTGAGTACCAACAGCTCACTGACTGTCAAATTATGACATTCTCTCCACACCAAACCACCAAAATACAAGACTGGCTTCATTTGCCGTGCAGTTCCCTGGGAGAACACAACATTAAGCATTAAAGCTAACACTAATTCCCTTTTGGGTATTGCCCCAAGGCGATGATAAAGAGATAACCACATGATTGATCCAACAAAATGCTCTGAGAATCTTGTCTTGTTGTGGTACTTCCCTACTTCCTAACCTGTTCTGCCTGCAGCTTTGAAAAAACCTAAAGTAAGACACAACCACACCCTAAACCTGCCGCAAAACCTAAGCCGTACCCCCCCCCCCCCCCCCCCAAGTCCTTGGAGGTGGGGCGGAGTTGCGACTTTGTAGCCATGGCACCGGCTGCATGCTGCTTTATGTATGGTTTAACGCTTCCCGGCTGAGGGTTTAGGGATTAGGGATTAGGGTTTAGGGATTAGGGTTTAGGGTGTAGGGTTTAGGGTTTAGGGTTTAAGGGTTTAGGGTTTAAGGGTTTAGGGTTAGGGTTGGGAGCTTTGGGTACCGGTTCAAGGTTCGGGACCTGGTATTTCATGATCGAGATCAAGGATAAACGATGCGGCGCATGGATTCCAGGACGTGGTGTAAGGCTTCTTAAGCTCAATGTGCATACACACCGATTTTGTCTCCAGGACCGGACTTTCGTCCCTGCCTTTTGGCGGTCATGTCTGCCGAAAGAACAGCAACCCTAAACCCTAAACCCTAAACCCTGAACCCTAAACCCTAAACAGTATCTAGCTTGATTTCAAGAAGCGCTGAGGGGAGTATCACTTTCCGCAGTCCCACAGATGTGCGCCGCAACGGAACAACAAACCATCAATGCAGGTGCAAGCGCGGAAAGCTTCATGCGGAGATAGAGGCAAGTATGCATCGAACGAACACATGGCAAAGCAAACGCTCACAGACATAGATGCATATGTCTACACCTACAGGCCTACAGGTATGTAAATGCCCATACACCGACAACTACTAACGACGACATTTATGTCAGTGTATGTATGCGATTGTGGATGTATGTACATATGTATGTGTGCCTGTTTGCCTGTCTGCCGGTCTACGTGTTTACCTGTCTACCTGTCTGCCTGCCTGCCTGCCTGCCTGCCTACCTGCCTGCCTGCCTGTCTGTCTGTCTGTCCCTCTCTGTGTGTACGCATGTCCTGTATGCATGGAGGTATGTCTGCATGTACGTATGTATGTATTCATGTATGTATGTACTTGTGTATGTGTGCGTGCGTGTTTGATTGTGTCTGCATGTGTGTATGTCTGTATTTCTCTGTGTATGTGCATGCGTGCGCCCAGACATACACACGTAATTTAATAGTCCTACCTCCGAAGACGTGCATCCCTAAACCCTAAACCCTAAACCCTATAAACCCTAAACCCTAAACCCTAAACCCTAAACCGTTTCTGGGAAACGATGGCACCCAGCGCTGCTGCTTTTCGGCTCACAGCGATGAGCTGGATGTGAGTCTGGGGCGAGCCTGGCTCACAAACAAGCGTTTTGGGTTTAGGGTTTAGGGCTTAGGGTTTAGGGTTTAGGGTTTAGGGTTTAGGGCGGCTTCTGAAATGTGCGGAATTGCGGGCTGGCAGGCTGGGCAGGATTTCAGAATCCTTATCCATGTTGGTGGCGCCTGAAGCTTTGCAGCCATAGTCTTCCCCCAGAGGTTTCCCACATTTGTGGTAAAACATACGCCTTCGGAGCCCTATACAAATCTTGTGTGCAAATCTCAACCCTAAACCCTAAACCCTAAATCCTAGGATGCGGAGGCAAAGGACCCGATATGTCGGGCCTCGGAACAACGGAGCATGAAGCGCCAGACTGCTAGCGGCACTCCACAAAAAACCAAAAGGCACTCCCCAAAGCTTCCACGAAGGGTTTAGGGTTTAGAGTTTAG